CCAAGCTGCTGCAACTGATACTGATAATCATTGATGATGTGTTGGGAAATAAAATGTTGAGGAACAGTAATGTAGTCAAGAAAAATAGACTACCACAAATCTTAATTTTGGAATCTGAACATCAGATTCAATTTAAAAGGAATGGTTACCACTGAAAAATAGCTTTGAAAAGAACAGTTCTGTCAATATTGGTGATGACCTGCCTAGCCTCCCTCCAGTTCTCCTCACCTAACTTTGGGATTTTTTTTCTTTTACTGTGCTAAAATATGCATCACATAAAAGTTACCATTTTTAAAGGGTACAGTCAGTTACATTAACTACATTTATATTGTTCAGCAACCATCACCAACATTCATGTCTAGAACTTATTCATCTCCCCAAATTGAAACTCCATAGCAATTAAGGAATAATTCCCCAATCTTTCTTTCCCATGGCCCCTGGCGACCACCATTCGATTCTCTGTTTCTATGAATTTTACTCCCCTAGGGACCTCATACAATTGGAATGAATCATATAATATTTGTTCTGTGTCTGGGTTATTTCACTTAGCATAATGTTTTCAAGGTTTACCCATGGTATGGGATATGTCAAATTTCCTTCTTTATCAAAAGACTGAATAATATTTCATGGTGTGTGTATACAACATTTTGTTCATCCATTCATCTATGAATGAGCATATGGGTTGTTTCCATCTTTTACCTATTATGAGTAAATGCTGCTATGAACACTGATGTACAAATACCTGCTGCTATGAACACTGATGTACAAATACCTGAATCCCTGCTTAAAATAATACTTTTAAGTGATGTTGGTTCTTGTATTAAAGTTTGAAGAGGAAAATTAACACTTGATTTTCTTCTCCATCTCCTTGCAATTAAAGTGACTGATTGTTTGTGACCAGTGGAAATCACTTTGGTGGAAACAATTATGACAGATATCAGCATTAAGCCATAGTAAATATAGCAGATATTCCCAAATTAGTTCTGTGTCCTCTAGATACAATCCAAGAATTACTTTAACATGACATGAACTTCCATTTTTGAGCCAGAAAGCAAATCTCTATATGTCTGTGTAAGTAAAAGCCTTATTTTATTTCCTTTTTTTTAAAGTCTAGGTTACTAGAATATTAACTCTATCAGGGCAGAGGGACAGTTTTGTTTTGCTTGCCTCTATTTACAGCACAAACTAGGAATATAACATATATTTTGTAAAAAAAAAGTATTTTGAACAAGTCTCTAAGCATATTAGATGTGCCACTTCAGAGCATATATATACAACTTTCTTTTGCTATCACTTACATTGGATCATTCATTTCAATAATGCTCATTGTGTTGCCTTTCTCCTAACATGTTTTTAATAATGTGCTTATTCCACTATTCATATTTTAAGTTAATAAGTATAGTTTACTCATTAATATTTCAAAGCTTCAACTTTCTTAGTCAATTCCATCTTTCCTCTTCCTCTTCCTACATATAAAAACAACTTTTTAATTTGAAATTTATCATTATGTATTTCACTATGAACTAAAAATTAATCTATGTGCATGGTAAATGAAATGGTATATTACCCTAATATTATACAGTAAGGGGTATAAACACCTCTTTCACAGTTGTGGACTGCTTCCCTGTTTTTTACAACATCTTTCCATCAAGCACCAGAACTTGGTTGGCCCTGATTCAGTGCTGTTTCTCATAAGATTTTTGCTGTTCTCAGGGTGAATTGAAAAGAACTGCTTAAGTCACTTTCACTGATTAAATTTGGAAAGGACAAGATTCCAGGCTTCAAGGCTAAAGGCAGTACTTGAAAGTTTTCACCATTCAATATTTATTACTCCCATCACCTCCTCAGGTTATGCCTCCTATCACTGTTCCACAAACATACTCTGTACTTGGTTTCCTCTGGGTTTTGGCTCACTGTTCCGTCTGCTTAGATTATCCGCTTTATTTCAGCTTCACTATGAAAAAATCAAAACACCCTTCAGTGCCACTCAAATTCTTCACTCCCCAGGAAAACTTTTCATGTTCTTTCAACAATTAAAATGTCACCTTCCTTTGAATCCACATGGAAATGTGTGCTTTCCTAATTGAATTGATCATTATAGCATATACTTGCATCAATACATTGCCAAACTTCCTATGTCTCTTCCCTAACTTACCTAGAAATAAATGCACAAAATTAGTTTCCTGGGAAGAACTCCTTTCCCTAGCCTGAATAATCTACTGATATATTGAAGAGAGGAATGTAGAGTTCTTATTAGTCCTGGGAAAAAAGTCAACCTCACACAGCAGTTTACCGTACCAAAAGAAGTCCACATGCTCCCTCTAAGACAGCTCTCACCACCCAGATATGTCTCCCCAGGCAGCTCGTTACACACCCCATGACTCAGTTTCCCATCTTACCTTTACATCCACCACCAAGCTTTCTCCAGGATTCCCCAGAATTCAGAGCCCACCATTAGCAATATCCCCTAAGTAGTCAACCTTCCCTCTGAACATTACCTTTACTTCCTGATTCCTCCCCCACTCCACCTCTCCCCCACACAATATACTGCTTGCAGCTCTCACACAGTGGCTTCCATACTTTACATACAGGGTCTAGAGATAGACGGATGGTAATTATCTGTCGGTCTCTGAAGTGCTGCTTCTGGAATATTATTCCATCTCCTTCTCTCAGTTTCCCTAAAGGAGATGCCTTATCATATTACATCCCCCATTAAATTCTATTGCTACAGTCATCTACAGACTTCTTGTATAATCTCCTTTATTAATGGAATATTTTAGCTTTTGGCTTACTGTTTCTTTCCCACACTACTATACTCTTATAATCGTAAGTGGTCATGTAAAATTCCACAGGGACATTCTATTTGCAGTGGTATTTGGCAGCTCTTATCAATCTTGTTCTTCACGTGGTGCACAGAGCCTGCATTTTCCTACTTTGCAATCCTGCTAACTAATAGCAGTGACTTCTCAGTATTCTTTGATGGATCTCCTTCCTAATCTCTAAGTGTTGAGTTCCCAGGCTTAGTCTTTGGCCTTTTCTAGGTGATTTCATCTGGCCCATGATTTCTTTCCTGAATCTAGATCAGCATCTATAACTGCCTTGCTAAGAGGCAGGTTTGCATATTGAAAAAGCACCACATCTATAAAATCTCCAAAAATGAACTCCTGATTCTTGCTAGCACAATACCTAGGGGAGGGCTGGGGACCTTCTCAGAACAAAAAGCTCAGAGTCATTCTAAATTTTCTCTGATACCCCACATATAGTCCATCAGCAAATCCCGTTGGCTGCTTCTGCTTCCTTCTCATCACCTCCCCAGCCTACTGCCATGGTTCAAGCCACTATCAAATCTTGCCTGAAAAATAATTGCATCAGGTTCTGTTTCTACTTTACCTCAAAACACTGTGTTACCCTTCCCTGTTCCCAACCCTGTTCAACATGTAGAATAATCCTTTTATATTGGAATATGTCACATCTCTAGACAAAAGCATCCAAAAACTTTCTAACACATCTAGAATTAATTCTGTATTCTAGTCTTGGGCTGTACTTCCAGTCTCATCTCCAGTCTTTTTCAGTCACATTGACTTCCAAGATCCCACTAGCTTTATAGACCTTATGTTGGAATGCCCAGGATGCTCTTAACCTAGGAATCCACAAGTCTCGCCCTGGACCACATGAGTTTATATTAAATAACTGCTTACTTTATTTTCTTGGTCTACTTTTTCTTTCACTAGTTTGTCTATAATACTAGGGCAACACCTTTGGTTTTTTTGCTGGTTTGTGTTTGGAAATCTCCGATGCCCTACTTTTATAACAGTACACACTATAAGTACTCAGAAAAATATTTACCGACTAATGAATGACCTGAGTCAATCAATAGTTAATGGGTCTAAAAATGTGAATAAGATAAAATGAACTCCAAAGGACTGTCCACTTGTAAATCATAATGTGATTTGAGTATAATGTGACTGACTTAAATGTGTGCGCCACTTTGTAACTGGTGATTAGGATCAGGAGCTAGGATTTGGCATATTTTATAAGTACACCACACATGCTTTATTTGCTTGGTTTACTCTTTCTTTCTTAGTGTGTTTAAGGTGAATAAAACTATATGCAAGCAGAGCTCTAATCATGATTCTCCTAATAGCAAAAGAATGGCAACTGCTCATGAACAAAACTAGAGGGAACCAACAGTTGGATTTGCTTAGGTTTTATGTGTGTATGTTAATAGCTATTTTAAAAATTGATTATTAATATATTTCCAGAAAAAAAACTGTAATTGCAAATCTAAAATACTTCAGCCTCTAAACTTTTACCCCAATGCAATGTCATGTTATCCATTTATTTCTTAGTAATAAACTTTGCAACTTTATGTACTGCCAACCATTTTAGTCTTTAAAACATATTTGATAGTAATTAGAGAAAAATGGAAAATTATCAAGTTATTCCTAGATACTGTTTTTAAATTCTATGGAGGTCAGCAAATTTTTTCTGACATATCCAATTTTTTTAAACTTTCAGTGAAATACTAAAATTAGTGTTGTTTTAACATTTACTTAACTAGTATGAATTTTTAAAATTATTGCAGAAAAGTAATTAGAATTTATGATATTAGAAAATGGTAATCTTATAGATAAATATGTATCTATATAACAGGGAAACCCCATTTTAAGAAAGCTTGGAGTTATTCTGAATTAAACATATTAGAGGCATATACATTTACTAGAAAAACATACATTCTAATATCTTATTCAATGTAAAATATCATAAATAATTTGTTCCCATTTTTATAGTAAAAAATAGCATTAAAAAGTTGCTTGGCATTCAGCTTATAATCAATCTGTATTTAGTTTTGCTAATTAAACTCACATCTCTGAGTTTTAGACTTTTACTTAAACAAAATGAATTAAGTACTCAGTGTAAACCATATGATAATAATTTATTTGCAAAACCTGAACTCTTTGCTTTTACTTTAGTTCTGTGTCTAAGAAATTTTCTCATACCTTAACTCTGAGAACAGAGGCAAACATTCCTGCATCTTCAGATACACCTCCAATGTAGAATTTTTTCTGAAACACCGGGGGATGATCATTTTCATCTTGAATCTCAATATACACTTTAGCTGTATTGCCTGGAGGATAAGAAATAATACATTTTTTATTGGTGGCTATTCATTAGAAGAAATGCACTGGAATAAATACTTATTGTACTTTTTTGATTTTGAAACAGTGGAAATAACTTAAATTAGAAGTAATTCCTAAATGGCATGTCTAATACCCCCAAATCCATAGAGGACACTGATAATAATGCTTCTGGCATGATAATGTTAAGTTGCTGTTATTTCTTTTAGTTACAGTATCCTAGTAATTCATTTTATTTGATTCAACAGGCACTAAAGAATGGTGTTGTGCTAATTTTAATGAAACAACTCAAATGTTCATGTTCACAAATACTTCATGCACATTACCAATTACACCAAAGTGATACAAATATAGAAACACCTTAAGAAATAATAGATATTGCCATAAACTAAAAAAATATATATTTTTCAGAATAAAACAGGAAGTGATATCCTTTTAGCTTAAAACATATTATAATTGTTTTATTTTAAGATGAAAAGTAAGCAATGGTTGGTTGAGGTGCTTACTTTCATAAACGGAAAGCCAGTTTTATCATGCATTAGAGGCTATCTATCATTCACTGAAACAGATATACCTGGAGAGATGATTGCCGTATCACTTATAATTGCTAGGTTTTCTAAGTTTAATACATTTCATCATCAAATGCAAGTGTTAGAATCTCACCCCTTTAATTATCTTTACTGAGCAAGGCAGCTTTTTAACCAATCCAAGAATGACTGTTTGTAAAAAAATCTGATGTAATAACCAGACAAGATGAGGAATAAGTGGTTATTTTGCAAAAAGTAGATTCAAATTATATGACTATTCTGATATATTATCTAAATAACTTTTCTTATGCATTTCAACTGCAGTCAAATACATGGCAACTGATCCACAAACTATTTATGAGGGACACTCTAATTTTCTTACTTCATCAGATTACTAAGTATACCTAATGAACACCAACCTACTAGCACAGTGGGTATATCATGGCTGTACAACAATACCTATGTTGATTGAATAAATGAATAAATAACCTGCATTATATAAGTAAGACCTTAGAAACAGGCTACTTTTTGCTTGCCCTGGGAAAGGTCAGAGAGAAAAGAGAATTAGCTCCTAAGTTTTAGCCCTATCCTGCTGCTACTCATTTAGTTTCCCTCATATTTGTCTTTTCCACCATTCTTAAACTGGAAGAGCTAGAATCAAGAGAAAAAAATGTGGTAGGTCAACAGAGAAGAGTACCAGCAGAAAGTCAGGCTATGCTTCTCTGAGAAAGCAGAGCATGCTACTCTGTCCCATGGTGCCAGTGCAGGGAATCATACCCCAGTCAGCACCAGCAATTGGAGTTCATCCAAACTGACACTCATTTTTATCTTGGTAGAAGATCATTTTTACCTCTGGAATCAAAGAAGCTAACAGCTCTAAATTTATTTATTTTTTTTTAAGAAAAGGACTCCTAAAATGTAACATCACCATTCCCATAACTTTTTTATGTTCTTCAATAAGGACATTAGTTATGGTCCTTATTTGCAATATTTGATTTTCAATTCTCTGAAAAGGAACAGATTTATGCTGTGAAATTTATCCTCTTTTCTCTTAGCACGTTACAAAATGATGACAGAAGGTTAGGCCCAGGCAGTATTGTATTACACCATTAGGAACAATTTGTGCTTTAGCAAATCTTTTAAGAGCAATGATTTCCTTAGGCATTGGGAAAAAAATGTGTGAGTCACTGTTGCAGTCTAAAGCAACACTTATATTCTATATAAAAATATTTTCTTATACATTTTCTAAACTCCAGAGAGACTGCAGTAAAATAATTCTTTAAAATATCAATTAAGCAGTTATTAAAAATTTCTAAAATTAACATCCATAGATAAATATCTATTCACAGTAGTGTTATTCACTGAATATAATTTTTTATAAAATAATTTTCCAACTTTAACAATTTAACTAAAGTTTTTCAAGATTTTCTTCTATAATATACTCACTTCATAAACATTATTATTATAATATACTTTCATATGAATTGTGCTTAAGTTCATATTTGTTATGAGACTGATATGGAATTTAACCATATTTAATTTAGAGCTTTAAAGTAACAATGAAACATGCTGTGATAATATTTCCATGCCATAAATTATATTAGGAGAGCAAGCACAATTATGGAAGAATCATTATAGTACTTAAATATTTATTTCAATTTTTTTCTTTTATTTTTCATCTTCCATGTTTGGGCATCTTTAACTTTATATAATAATATTAATAATAATAAATATTTGTATATTGAAGTTACCTACTTATCTCAGATTTTTCTTGGTTGTTCTTCCTGACTCTAACTTCTTTTCAATATGATTATGTGTTGATTTTTTAAAAGATTTGCCTAACAACCCTGTAGTATAATTAAATTGTACTGGAATTGGATGATAAATCCATACAGTTGAATTGTATAATTTCTAACTTATATGCCAGAAAAAGAAATATTATGAATATTTTATATATACTCAGTATATAATGCTATTGGGTTCCATGTAAGTCTTGTCCTGGTCTATTTTTATTCCAAATAATGTTGTAATAAACACTACTGCCTTATTCAGTGCATTTCACAAGTGTGAGTTTTGTACAAACACAATTTTATTGAAAATAGAAAAAAAACACCAAAGGGTAGATAATAGTATGACTACTACTCTTTTTACATTTATATGAACTATTTGAAAATATTTTCATTTTAAAGATGACTTTATCCAAATTCAAGATCATCAGCATAAATATTTTATCTTACCAGTTCCTTTATTTCTCTTTAAAAGTTGAAAAATTTGAAGGGTGGAGCCAACATGGCGGCATGAGTAGGACAGTGGGAATCTCCTCCCAAAAACATGTATTTTTGAAAATACAACAAATACAACTAATCCTAAAAGAGAGACCAGAAGACACAGGCCAACAGCCAGACTACATCCACACCTGCGAGAACCCAGCACCTGGTGAAAGGGGTAAGATACAACCCCCGGCCCGGGGGGACCTGAGCACACCTCCCCCAGCTCCCGGCAGGAGGGAGAGGGAGCCCAGGATGGCTAAACACCCAGCACCAGCCACCCGCACCAGAGCACAGACACAGTGCATGCGTGGAGGGCTGGAAACTAGGGAATCAGGGCAGCAAGTCCTCTGAGCGGGTTCTGAAGCTGATGCCCCTGTGATAAAGAAAAGCGAGTGCTTTTTGAAAGTCTTAAAGGGACAGGGATGTCACAGCTGGACAGAAACAACACAGGTCAAAGCCCAGTGGCTGGAAATTACAGGGAAAATCGGGCACACTAACCCCCTGGGCAACAGCTCTGAGACCCCAAACGGAGGTAAACAACCAAACAGCCCCCTCGTCCATCACCCCTCCAGGTGCTGTGAAAGCAGAGAAGCAGCCTAAGGCAGACCACACCCTCAGAAAGGGAGATTCCTCCATATCGGCCGGGCAAGACACAAAGACCCAGTCTACACACAATTACCCAACATAAGCCACTAGGGGTCGTAGTTGTCCCAGTAAAGAAAGGCTAGTAGCAAGTGAAAAGTTTGGCCCTCCCAGCTGACAGTCAATAGCACCTGTCAACATGAAAAGGCAAAAAAA